TGCTGGAGTGGTTTGCCATTTCCTTTTCCAACTCATTTAACAGATGAGGAAACTAAAGCAAACAGAGTTAAGTGACTTGGTCAGTGTCACACAGCTAGTAAGTATCTGAGGCTGGTTTTTGAATTCAGGTTTTCCCCGCTCCAGGCCTCCACTTTATCTACTGTGCCACCTAGCTGCCATATGAAACTTAGCAGTAACTTAAGAAGAGAAAATCTCAGAATACCACATCCCACAACTCAGAAAAACAACCCTGCAAAATTGAGTATGATTCTAAAATGGAAAATGTGGATTTTAATAGAATAGAAATGCTGAGTAAAAACTCAGAAATGCAAACACAAGAGTTAAGAGAAACCAGAAAAGTAAATACATTTAGTAATTAGAAGGGGATAAATGATGAAGTACTTACATTATAATAGAAGAAGAAGCAATAAGGTTCTCTTCAGAATTCTAATGTCTTCAAAAGTCACAGAATGAGGTAAATAAGACAAACACAGGGCCTGGATCTGGGTTTGCTTGGTTTTGTTGGTTTTAGGAAAATAAATACAAAGGAAGGGAAAATAATATGCTATGGAAGAAATGAGGAAGAAGAGGGAACATCTTACTATTTTGCATAAGTGGGGGGTATGAGAAGAAGGGAATACAAACATGGAGGAAACGGTAGGGAAACAAGCATGTCATGCCCTTATTTGAAGTATATAAAGATGGGTTGAACATTCAGACTTACAAACACATACAGAGATTTAGTACAGAAAACATATTAAACCCAAAAGTAAAATAGGTGGGGAAACAGGAGATGAGAGTTTAAGGAGAACAGACTTCCAGAGGGAATAATCACCAGCAAATAAAACTTGAACTTCAGAAAGTTAATCATAAGTGGTGATAAAAAAGAAATGAAGAAAATATAAGGAATAGAATTGGAGACCAGATTGGAAGAGATAGGAGAAATGGAGGAATAGGAACAGATCACTTTAATTACAGGTGAGTGGTGAACAGATTCTTCCTCTTTCTCTATCCCTTCTATATAAAAACAAATATTGAAGGGGGCAGGAAGAAAAGAGTTAAAAGCATAAGAGAATATGAGGGAAAAGAGCCCTTATGTTCAAGTAAATTCTGAAAAATAGGAATTATCCTGCAAATCTTGTTACCTTCACTGAGGCCAATAAGAGTTTAAAAATGTTTACAGTCAAGATGGGTTCAAAACATGCCTCTGATGCTTATTTCATGACCTTGGGCAAATCACTTATTTTCTCTGGGCCTCTATTTCCTTATCTTTAAAATAATGAGGGTAGACTAGCAAGACTTCTTGGTTCTCTCCATCTCTGTCTGTGATTGATCTAGACCAAAAAAAAAGAAAAAGTCCTCAGAAGTAAAAGTCTGAGTAATGCTGTCACCCACAAGAGGTGTGTTCTAGTAAATGGAAAGATGGCTTTATTTTAGGAAGAAAACCATTGCATATTTGATAGATTGTTGTTGTCGTGCTGACTTTTTGACCCCATGTGGGATTTTCTTGGCAAAGATACTGGATTGGTTTGCCATTTCCTTTTCCAGATGAGGAAACTGAGGCAAATGGTATTAAGTAACTTACCCAGGGTCACACAGCTAGTATTTGAGACCAGATTTGAACACCTGAAGATGAGTCTTCCTGACTCCAGGCCTGCCTCTATCTACTGTACTACGTAGCTGTCCATATTAATTGAGGTTCTCTATCCACTATATCACCTAGCTGCCCATATTAATTAAGCACTTACATCTTGTTACTGTGCTTGAGAATGCAAATACAAGCTAGCAAGACAGTCTTTGCCCTCAAGGAGTTTGCTTTCTAATGGGGGAAGGCAATCCATAAAAGGGAGCTAGAAAGGGGGGAGGCTTAAGGAGTTACAACTTGACGTGAAGATGATTAGGATGTGTCACAGACACCTGGTTCTGGGCAAGATAAGGCAAAAGTTCATCTATCAGAGCCTGATGTCCCAGGGATAGAGTCCAAGGTTTCAGAGACGGGGTTTGAGTATGATGGCAGGAGTTCTGGCAGAATTGTGTGGAAATGACTGGGAAGTCGGTCACCTAATTCACCTGGTCATTGATCAGATTACAGTAGAAAGAATAGGTGGTGGGTTGAAGGTCTTGGGCCTCTTGTATAGTCTCTGGTTCTGGAGGCCAGGCTGTGAGTTGGCCTTGTCTCCAGCTTTGGCTTCCAGTGTTTGATGGAGCGCACTGCTGAGCTCTGCTTCCTCCCACAGATGACCTGGGTTCAAATCCTGGCTCTGGTACTATCTATGTGACCTTGGGAAAATTGTTGATCTTCAATTTCCTTATCTGTAAAATGAGAGCATAGGACTAGACCATCTCTAAGAGCCTGTCTAGCTCTAAATCTATAATCTTAATATGCTAAGAGAATCAGTTTATAATCTTGGTTCAAACCAATTTTCTTAAACCTGATTACATATTATATTATAGGCAGCTTCTTCATTCTATGAAAAGGTATAAAATATTGCCCCCTTTAAATTCAGCGATGTTAACCTCTGCACTATCAGTTGCCTGTATAAGTATTTTATTATTCAAGGAAGTGTGGTTTGGAATCATCTGATGTATGAACCTATGTTTCAATAAAGGATACTGCATTCAAGTACTCACTTTGTTTTTAGTACATTTCATCCAGTGTCAATTTGTCTTTAGTCCCCAAGCTTCTACTGTAGTGCCAAACTGAAACCTGATCTTTAAAAATAGAAAGCTATCACTGACAAAACTGAATTCAGCCTCTGCTCTTACATATTCATTCCTCCACTTGAATTATGTAATGTATATACATTTAACTGGGTGACAACTGGAAAGGGAGGCTGGAAATAGAGTAAGGATTTCATGGGTAAGGGTAGGTTGAAACTATTCTATTTGGCTCTAGTACTTTGAGTAGGTCAAAATACTTTTTCACTGAATTAATCAGAACTGAATGTGAGCAGGGTCCGTATCCCTCCTTGACACAAAGCCATTGGGTTAGAGATTGGGTCAGCCATTTGTATATAAGGGAGGAACTATCTCAGAATGGGAAAAGGAAGAGATTTTGAGTGTCTGGATTCAATGTTAGAGCAAGCATGAATCGAAGGCAAGACGATAGTAGCAGAGAATGGAGACATCAGCTCTTTGGGTATCTCTAGGAGAGGAGGATGCAGGATGAGAAGACTGCCTCCCCAAAAGGTTTACTCTTTCCTTAGCTTCCCCTCCCAAAGCCTTTCTATCTATAGACATCATAATATAATCTGCTGTTTTGTTACCCAAATGTTTCCAGTAAACTGAGATTTGCCTCAATTACAAAGGGGCTAGAGATTAACTAGAGATAGATATAGATGTGAGGTTATGCAGAGATGCCAACCTCTGCCTGTGTGTTAGGAATTTTTCCTAATTAGGGGCTCAGAGTTACAACTGAACTTAAAATTTTTCATCAAAAATAAACTCCCTAAAGCTGAAGAAAAGAAAACAAAGTGAACCTTAGGGACCATTGTACAGCCCCCCCTAAGCTTAAAACAAGCTAATTATTATAATAGCATATTACCCACAGTAAAACACCTTTTCAGATCTGTTATTACTTAAAATAGAATAAGGCTTCCACCCAAGATGGCTGCCTATACCTACTCCTGTAAAACCTAAAAAAAGTGAATAATGATTAATTGATTCAATGAGAAACTACAGTAAATGGCATGTTCTCCAGAACTGCATAAAAAGTCAGTCTGAGGCTCACAGGCAACAGAAAAGGGGGCTGCCAGCAAAGGCAGTTATCAGTGAAGGCTTACAAACCAGCAGCCTCCTAGCATAACCAGACATAGGCCAAATGTAGCCTGCAGGTCTGTGTCTGGAGTCAGCAAGAGAAACTGGGATGCAAGCATTACAAGATGGAGCTACATAATAATAATAATAATAATAATCATTGCTAGCGTTCATATAACCTTAGAGCTTTACAAATATTATTTTATCCTCAGAACAACCAAAGGAGGTAGGTGCAAATCTCTTTCTGTGTTCTGATGTGTATTATGTAAATGCTCTCTTTTTTGGGTAAGTTCCAAATAAAAAAGCAATAAAGCAATAAAATAAAAATATAGTAATAAAAATTTTAAGTGGAATAAAGCCAGATGCTACTGGAATGTTAACAGACAGACCCTCCCAACTTTGGCACAAGTCAAAAAAACAAGCACAAACCCCTAATTCTGGGGGCTTCTTAGAGAGAGGCTCCATTTTGACCCTCAACACACCTGCCCACCCCCACCCCCCAATTTTCTACTAGTGATGCTGTGCAGGAAAAGGAAGATGAGGTTGCTGCGCTGGTGTGGCCTCTGCTCGAGGGTAAAGGGCTTGATCAGGGTCCGGTGCGGGGGATGGGGGAGGCGGGGCGCCCCCTGCAGGGCGGCCCAGGCAGGCCTCCCACCCCACCCGCTCCCGTGGGCTCCGTCAGGCCCTGGTGTCCTCTGGCCGCTCCCTCCCCATGGCGGCCCCATCTCTCTCCAGGCTCCTTGGACATCTTGGGGTTGTCGGTCCCACAGGGCGTCCCCTCTGCCCGCCGGCCCGTTGCTAAACACTGACTAGAAAGTGACAGCGCCCCCCGCTGAAGGCGGGGGTGGGGCGGCTGTGGCACCCAGGCGCAGACTGACACACGGGGCGGCTCCCGCGGTCCCGCCTCCCACGCGCCAGGGGGCCCCGCCCACCCCGACCTCGGCCCAGAGCCCACCAGGTGGCGGCAAAGACGTGCCGCGGATGGAGTGCGGGACGACGCGGGGCGTCCTAGGAGACCAGCCCGTGAGGAAGTGTCTGGGAAGGAGGGCGGCCCTTCATTTTATGTCTTTTGTTTGTTAAAGAGGGAAGGAAAGAGAAAGAAGGAGGAGAGCGAGAGCCGGATGCGCAGGTGCATCCGAAGGAACGTGGGAAGAAGGTCTGGCGGGGAGGAGGAAGCCTAGACTGCGCAGGCGCGCCCCGGCCCCCGCCTTGCCTCGGGAGCCTGTGGCCCGGGAGCAGGGGGAGGAGCGCGTCGGTCCGCACTGTTCCCGGGAGCTCGAGGTCTTGCTCAGCCGCGCCGAGGAGCAGGGGAACCGGCCACCCCGCGCGGGTCAGTCGGGCCCAAGATGCCGGTAAGAAGCAAATCCTCGCCCCGCCCCGTCCGGCGGCCGGGGCCGTTGCCATGGAGGCACCGAGCCGGGAGGGCCTCCCCGGGGAGGGGCGGCCGAGGTCCAGGCCCGGCCGCAGCCCCTGCCCAGGCCAGGTCCTCGGCGGAGGCTTTCCCAGGGGTCCTCGCAAGGAGGGCCGAGAGAGGCCCGGCCCGAGCAGCAGCTTCCTCAGGAGCTTCCCCCAGGAAGGATGGGAGAGGCCGGGGCGGGGCGGCAGCCTTGGGGGTCTCCTCCGGGAAGGCCGAAAGAGCCCCAGCTCCAGGCCAAGCTGCAGCTTTCTTCGTACGTGGGAGAGCCTCGGCCCAGCCCAGGTGCCTCCTCAGGGTAGGGCGAGCCCAGCCCGGCCTTCTAGAGGAAGGGAGGTTCTGTTGGGCTGGGAACCTGGAGAAGGGACAGCGCTGGCCACGGCCTCTTTGTCATCACGCGCAGGGGTTCCCATGGAGCCCTGGCTTCGGGCCTCCTGCCCTTAGGGGTGCTGGAGATGACCCCGGCCACCTCGGGGTGTGGCGCTGGGCTGGGCCGGGCGGGGCGGGGTTGGGGCGGGGAGGAACCTGGCCCAGCCCTCCTTTAGGTGAAGGGAAGGGACTCGAGGTTCCCAGAGTCTTGAGGTCAAGCCACTCTCTGCTGCCATCTGACTCTCAGGACCAGCACCATCCTCCTTTGAGGATTTCATTGTATTACGTAGAGTAAGATGAATCAGATGCTGCCATCGCCTCAAATTATTGACAAGTCCCCGTTCCCTTTAGCGGATTGTTATTGCTCCTATATCTTTCCAAGGAACTCTGGTTCCTATTGTTCTTTAACTTCCAGTCAGTTATTTGCTAATGTCATATGAATATGGTATGTCATAGAATGGTGGCTATTGAAATTTCCTGGGATTTTCGTCTCAGATCAGTAGTTGGAAAGGCCAGCCCTCTCCTTTTACTGATGAGGAAGCTAGAGGTGTAATGACTTGTCTAAGGTCACACAGCTAGTCAGTGGCTTAGCTAGGGTACTGTAGCTTGCAGGATTCTTTACCATCTGTACCATCTACATCTTGTTATTTCACAACATAGTAAAAGTGTTAAACTTGGGGTAGATGCTACGTCAGCTTTAACCATATACAGCTTGATTTCATGCAGAGGAATGGGATTATGCTCGCTGCAGGCTCTTGATTCCTAAAAATTCAGTAACTGAGAATTTTAGTGTAGTCTTAAGTGAGAAACTGTATATCTAGTACTCTGTAGACTTTGCTGCTCTGTTTAAATGTGAACAATTATTGTTTTTCCCTAATTTTAAGAATATTTGAACTGGTTTTTCCTGAAATAGAACATTTAAATTTTTCTAGGATGAGTGCCACAGAAATAACTTATGGATACTGTACAATATGGAATAACCATTTCACTTTATATGCATGGTATAAGAGAAGCCCTAAATTCGTAAGGAGGGGTGAAAAAGTGGAGGAAACTAAGGGATCGAATTCCACATGCTTTTTGAAATTTACAGTATTTACTGTGGAAGAATGTGGAGGAAACAAGATTCATTAGAGCATTGAACTTGTAGAGCAAAACTTGGAATAACAGAATCTTAATTCAGTGGCTGTCTCTACCCTTTACCTGTAAGACCTTGGGCAAGTCATTTGATTTCTCTGGGCCTCAGTTTTCTCATCTGTAAAATAGGAGAATTGGACTAGATGACCTCTAAGGTCTCTTCCAGCTACAGTCAGTTCTCATTTAATATAAATGGACCCTTCCTTAGACCTCCCTATGTTTTCCTGGAGACCTATGTGGCCCCTCTGTCTCTTCAGCCCTAACAGCCAGAGGGGCCTCAGTGCCTGAGATCCTGCCACCCAGAGACTGAATCAAGGACCCCTGGCTCCAGGCCTGTGGTAGCTGCTGTAACCGCCTACAGGAAACCTGGGCCACTGTGCAGTTCTGCCCACCTTTGTGCCTGGGAGTGGAATTTGCAAAATGTGAAACTAAATGGAGAACTGTCTACATATGATACAGTGGTTTAGTGTATGGAGAGCAGGCTTCAGAATCAGGAAGATATATTTTGTATTTACTTTTATTTGTGCAAGTGTAATAAATACCAAACACACTAGCATAAGGTATGGGACAAGGTTTATGATCCAATAAAGAAGACTGATGGGGGCAGCTAGGTGGCACAGTGGATAGAGCACCAGTCCTGAAGTCAGGAAAACTTGAGTTCAAATCCGGCCTCATACCAAACACTTAAATTTACTAGCTGTGTGACCCTGGGCAAGTCACTTAAACCTAATTGCCCCCCCCCCCCAAAAAGAAGACTGATGACAGGAAGAACCAATGTATCTTTCTTAGACTAGAGCAGAAAAGTAGAGAATGGGCAGTGATGTAGAGGTTTGGAAATGGAGGAGCTTAAGATGTATGAACTTCATCTTTTCAATACAATAGGAAGAGAAGTTCTCATTTGGAGTGGCAAGTATAGATTTGGGGACTTGTGGAAAGAGTGAAGGTTTGAGATTTCTGTTAATAGGAGTGTGAGAAGAATTTTATTCAGAGATGAATGAAGAAAATTTTGTAGTTGAACTTCTGAGAGCTTATGTAGGGAGAAAGAGAGAGAGAGATTGAGAAAGATTAGGCTAGGGAGAGAGCTCTGGGATACATATATTCATGTATAGGAGTGGGATAAGGCCTGATGTTCCTGTTGTAAAGGAGACTTGACTTGTGAGAAAGGAAGTAGGAAAAAGTCATGTCATGAAATTCCAGGGGAGAGAGTTTCAAGGAAGAGGTTATCTAAAGTGTCAAATAATGTAGGGAGGTCAAGAAGGATAAGGATTGAAACTGTGAAATTTGGCAATTAATAGATCATTTGTAACTTTGAATCCAACTTCAGATGGTAGTGATGTCACAAGCCAGGTTTTAAAGAATTTTGAAATGTCAGGTAAGGAAATAAATGCAACAGTTACTGGTAGTTTTCCCAGTTTCCTGAATTGTAAAATGATAGAGTTGGACTAAAGTCTCTTCTAGATCTCTTTCCATGAACCTATAAGGCTCCTCTCTGAAGTCAACTGACTTTGTGACTCAGGGTAAGTCACTTAACTCTCAGTGCCCCAGGCAGTACTCTGAGACCTTCATTTGCTTTTCCTAATCTTCATTGTTAAGCATTTCCTCACCAAACTTCCCTATCCAATAAAATCCTAGTTCTCCTTAAAAAACAACAACCAGAAACTATGTAGTTGTGTGACTTTTTGCAAGAAACTGACAGATGATTGCTGTGATTCATTCCTCATTCATTCAGTAGGACTCCATTTCCCAGCTCAGTTCATTTTCACTGGCTCTCCGTCATGCCTGAAATTCTTTCCCTCCCCCATTTTGCCTCCTGGCTTCTTTCAGGTACCAGCTAAAGTTTCACTTTCCACTAGAAGCCTTTCCTTGTCTCACTTATGTAGTGCCTTCCTTCTGTTGATTATCTCCAGTTTATCCTAGATCTATATCTTGTTTGCACGTGATTAGCATGTTGTCTTCCCCATTTGACAGTGATCTTGAGAGCACGGACTGTCTATATCCTCAGCTTTTAGCATAGTGCCTGGCACATAGCAGGTGCTTCATAAATGCTTGTTGACTGATAGACAAAGCCTTAAGCTTGAGGCTAAGAAATACAGAGATTTAAAAGGACATGATTCTAGTGTATAAAAAAAATCAAGTGGTCTGCAATTTACTTATCAAATACTAAAGCAGCAATTAATAAAAATAAAAATCTTGACCAGAAGCTTATTTTTTTTTCAATTAAGTAGTAGTAGGCACTTAATAAATGTTTGTTCTTGGCGCTGTGTGTACAAAGACAAAATTGAAAGAGTCCCTGTCTTCAGATAACTTACCTTCTAAGGTGGAGGAGAGAGCAAAACAATAGATACACAGAGATAATTTAAAGAGGGAAAAAATGCTAACAACTGGAGGTATTTGTCTTTCATTTGGAGGTGGCATCTGAGCTAACCCTGGAAGGAAGCTAAGTGTTCCTAGAGACTGGTAAAGCGAGTCTTTTTTTACATAGAAAATGGAGGTACCCAGTCTATTTTTCTTTTTAGCTCAAGTAACAAGATTTGAAAAGTATATACATGATGATTGTGGAGAAACATTAATCTTAGTGACAAGAAAGTCTCACATTGAAAATCATTCATATATGTGTTAAGATTAATGTTGATTTTTTTGTTTTATTTTGGTTATTAGATCAATAAATCAGAGAAGCCTGAAAGCTGCGACAATGTCAAAGTTGTTGTTCGATGTCGACCCTTCAATGAAAGAGAAAAAGCAATGTGCTACAAATTATCTGTTACTGTGGATGAGATGAGAGGAACTATTACAGTACATAAAACAGATTCTTCAAATGAACCTCCAAAGACATTTACATTTGATACGGTTTTTGGACCAGATAGTAAACAACTTGATGTTTATAACTTAACAGCAAGACCCATTATTGATTCTGTTCTAGAAGGCTACAATGGTAAATAACCTCATTTCACTTTTGAATTAAGAGGATTATGAATTTTTGAAACGTAGAAGCTTGCAATCCTATTTGAGCATTATAAAAGGATTTTTTACCTATTGAGTTTAGTTATTAACCTACCATATTATTATTCGACAAATACTAAGTTTTTGCTTGTGTATATACTAGTTCTGTAAATATAATAACAATAGCTTAATAAATAATGGAAATCATCTTTTTTTTAAACATTTTTTATTTAGTGTTTTATTTTTCTCCAGTTGCATGTAAAAACAATTTTTAACATTTGTTTTTAAAACTTTGAGTTCCAAATTCTCTCCCTTCCTCCTTCCCCCCCCCCATTGAGAAAGTAAGCAATTCAATATAGGTTATATGTGTGTAGTCATGCAAAATATATCCATAATAGTCATGTTGTGAAAGAACACATAGACAAAAATGCTTTAGAACAATAGAAAGTAAAAAAAAGTATGCTTCACTCTGTATTCAAACACCATCAGTTCTTTCTCTGGGGATGGATACCATTTTTCATCATAAGTCCTTCAAAGTTGTCTTGGATAGTTGTGTTGCTGAGAAAAGCTGAGTCACGTACAGCTGATCATCTTACAATATTGTTGTTATTTTGTGCGCAGTACATTTCACTTTGCATCAGCCCATGCAAATCTTTCTCGGTTTTTCTGAGAACATCCTGCTCATCATTTCTTACAGTACAATAGTATTCCGTCATAATCACATACCACAACTTGTTAAGCTATTCCTCAGTTGATGGGCATCCCCTTAATTTCTAATTCTTTACCCCCAGAAAAGAGCTGCTATAAATATTTTTGTACATATAGGTCTTGGAAAATCATTTTGATAAAGGATATGAACTTCTGCCCCTCACAGTTTGTATTTTGTTTTATGATATATATTAGTCACATGTGGATTATCCATATTGTGGATCATGCATAACTAGTATATAATCCTCAGTTGGCTTTCCTCCATTAGACTCCATTGCTTTAGTTGGTACATGTTCAAGAATGGTAACCTTAAAATATAAGATTCTGTGATGAGTCTGAGCAAAACAATTAGATACATCTCTTCTGAAAAAGTTGTGATGTATTCTAAACCTAAATATTAGTGATTTTTGTATTATCACTGGCCATGCTGACTTGAAGTATTATAATAATTTCCTACCAATATTTCATCCACTGTCTTACTTTGCACATGTAGTGCTTAGTATTTGTTGGTGATGCTATAACAGAACGAGTTGAATTTTTCATTTCATTTCAGCCTACTTCCTTAAGACAGAAAGATGTCTCAGTAAAATTTATAAAAAAGCATTGCTATCATACTACTAAGATGTGAACAACACTTAAAGTATTTTAGTTTTGTTTTTTTTCCCCACAATGGGTTTGCCACCAGAACACAGGTGTCATGAAAGTTTTAGATAAAGCTAACTAAAATGGGCAAGGTAAAGACATTAATCTAATCATCATTGGACAAATAGACTATGGCAAATGCGTGACAACTGACTACCTCACCTATAAATGTAATAGGATTGATAAGAAAGCTATTGAAAAAGAGGCTGCTGAGTTGAGAAAGGATTCCTTCAAATATACCTGGTCTTGGATAAACTGAAGGCTGAACCTGAGAGTAGTATCAACATTGATATCTCCTTGTGGAAATTTGAGACCAGCAAGTTTTACATGACCATCATTGGTGCTCCTGAACCCAGAGACTTTATCAAGAACACAATTACAAGCACATCTCTGGGGACAGCTAGGTGGCGCAGTGGTTAGAGCACTGGACCTGAAGTCAGGAGTATCTGAGTTCAAATCTGGCCTCAGACCAAACACTTGACACTTACTAGCTGTGTGACCCTGGGCAAGTCACTTAACCCCAATTGCCTAAAAAAAAAAAGAGAAACCTAAATCTAAAGATGTCTACAAGATTGGTGGACTTGGTACTGTACCTTGTTGGCCATGTGAAGATCAGTGTTGTGAAACTAAGTATGGTGGTGACTTCTGCTTCAGTCATTGTTGTAACTAAAATAAAGTCTTTTGAACTGCACCATGAAGCCCTGCCTGTGAATGACGTTGGTTTCATCATCAGGGATGTGTCAATTAAAGATGTCCTCTTTGATAATGTGGCTAGGGATAGCAAGAATGACCCACCAACAGAAACAGCTAGCTTCATTGCACAGCGAAGTTCACATATGTAAACTAGTCAAATTAGTGCTGGTTATTCACCTGTTCTAGATGATCACATTGTTTACATTGTTTGCAAATTTGCTGAGCCAGAGGAGAACATTGATTGATGTCCTGGTGGGAAGCTGGAAAATGGCCCTAACCTCTCTTTTTTATTTTTTAAAGTTTTTATTTTCTTTGGAGGCAGTAGGGGTTATGTGACTTGCCCAGGGTCACATAGCTAGTAAGTGTTAAGTGTCTGAGGTCGGATTTGAACTTGGGTCCTCCTGACTCCAGGGCCAGTGCTCTATCTACTGTGCCATCTAGCTGCCCTGCCTAAATTCTTGATATCTGGTGATGCTGCATTGTTGATGTGATTCCAGGCAAGCCCATGTGTGTCAAAAGCTTCTCTGATTATCCTTCACGTGGTTGTTTTGCTGTTTATGATATGAATAGACTGTTGCAGTTGATTTCATCAAGACAGTTGATAAGAAGGCTACTGGACCTTGCAGGGTCACAAATTCTGCCTGGAGATTCAGGAGGCAAAATATTTGTTTGTTTATTGTCTCCCCCATTAAAGTCAGGGACTATCTTTTGCCTCTTTTTGTGTCCCCAGCATTTAGCACAGTGCCTGGCACAAAGTAGGCATTTGATAAATGTTTATTGACTGATTAAACACCTGCCACTCTAGTCTTCTTACTCAGTGATCAAAGAACTGAGAACATTTTGTCTCAACTGACAACTGATTTCAGAACTGTTTGTCTCAACTGGCCAAAATGCGTTATAAAAGTTTCAGGAGGAAAAGAATGGTTTTTTGTGGACCATTTGTTTCCTTGAAGTTTTAAGTTACTAGTTTTTAGAATAGTAATTTTTAAATATAAACAACTTGACCCAAAATCTAACACATAATTTTACCATCTTTAAAAAAAAGTTTAGTGCAAAAAAAGTATTTTACTTTGCTCTGTATATTTTTTTAATGTATTACCTATGCCTACAAGGCCTTCTTCAGCTGTTTAATTCCCACCCAACTGACCCTTCCTTGATTTCCCTGCCCTCTCAGACCTGACATAGCACTTGGTATTGTACCTTTTTAATGTGTAATGTTGTGTCTTATTTTATTGTTATCTTTGTGCTTAATCCTTCTGTCAGTCAATAAGCGCCTTGAGAGCAGGTATTGTTTCGTTCTTTGTATTTGTATCCCCCATCTAGCACAGTGCTTGGCACATGTAGGGACTTAGTTTATAAATGCTTATTATTTGTGTGAGGCATTGTACTAGATTGTAAATTTTCTGATTGCAAGGAACTTACTTAGCTAATGTTTGTATTTCCTTCAGTGCCTAATGCAATGTTCTATACACATTAGATGCTTAATAAAATTAATTGAATTTAAATTTTGAATATCTTTGGAGTAAATCTTTTCTTTCTATTTCAGGTACTATATTTGCATATGGACAGACTGGAACTGGAAAAACATTTACCATGGAAGGTGTACGAGCTGTACCTGAACTTAGAGGAATTATCCCAAATTCATTTGCTCATATATTTGGTCATATTGCAAAAGCAGAAGGGGATACAAGGTAAAAACAAAAAAGACTCTTTTTTTCCACTTCCCTGCTTATTTTTAAGTAAAATAATTTTTTTATGTAGGTAGATGTTGATTTCAGGGTTTTCGTTCATATATGTCATTGTACTTGCCATTAACCTGATTATTTTCCCAAGTATTTGGCCTTCAATTAAGCCATCATATGTTAAGTCCCTACTAAAGTGCCAGGTATTGGGGCTGAGGTTTTAAAGACAAAAAGAAATAAGCTTGTTCTCAAGGAGCTTACATTCTATTATATGTATACAATATACTACATATACACAGAGAGGTAAATACAAAATGCAGGATTTCATTGCAGTTAGTTTGAAAAGATAGCTTAGAGCTAGGAGTAGAGACTAGACCTTCTGTTTCACTAATATCGTGAATTCCTAATTGATGAGTAAACTCCTACCAATATAGCTTACTTAGAGTCTTACAAGAGTTGCCTAGAGCACTGTGAAATGCACAGCTAGCTCTGGACCCATGCTTTGAAACTTAGGCACCTGAAGAGGAAGGACTATTTCAGACATGGGGCATAGGCTGTGAAAAAGTGTGGAAGCAGGGGAGCAGCTAGGTGGCACAGTGGAGCACCGGCCCTGGAGTCAGGAGGACCTGAGTTCCAATCCAGCCTCAGACACTGAACACTTACTAGCTGTGTGACCCTGGGCAAGTCACTTAACCCCATTGCCTAGCCAAAAAAAAAAGTGTGGAAGTAGGAGACAGACCATCATGTAGGGGGGAATGAAGGTTATTAATGTGAAATTGGTCTGAAAAGAGGTTGGAGCCAGATTGTGAAAGAACTGCAAGCCGGAATTTGTATTTTGTCCTAGAGCAATAGGAAGCCACTGAAATTTCTTGAGCAGGGGAATGGAATAGACTTGTGCTTTAGGAATATCAGTTTGGCTGGTCTGCGGAGAATCCACTGGAGGTGGGAGATTCTGGGGGCATTTATATTATTTAGGAGGTAATCGCTATAATTTAAGTGAGAAGCTAAGAGGGTTTGAACCAGGGTGGGAGTGCTATGTGTAGAGAGAAGAGTATGGTTGTGTTGGTGGATTAAGAGAACTCAAGATAGATACCTGAGTCACCTGCATAGAAATGATAATTTAAACTCCTGGGAGCTAATCCCCTCACCAATAAAGAGAAAAGAAAAAAGAAAAGAAAAGGACCCTGGATTGAACTCTTAGTTAGGCAGATGATTAGCCTGTATGTAGCCCTTTTAGATTGAGTAGGAGCAAAGGCAGCAAGTGGCAGGGATAATTCAAAGTTTGGGTTTGGCAAGAGGGGCAGAGGACAATGTAAATTTGCACTGGCTAACCATAAAGTCAAGATTAGGAAGAGAGAAAAGTGAAGTCAGAGCAGGAGTCTTGTAGGAATTGGAGGTCATGGTGACGATAAAGAATAGGTTTAGGAGAAATGAAGCACAGAAAAATAAGAGGTTATGGTCAGTTAGAAGCTTTTCCTATTTCTCAGACGTGGAAGAGAGAAACTAGGGCTAGATATAGATACGGGACTCTCTGAGGAAGAGAGCTCCAGTCTCTATCCTATAGGTTAGCTTCTTAACGCCTTTCTCTCCTAATCATATGATGCTGGGATTGTCCCTCTCTGACTGAGGTGGAGTGAAATTGAAGGTCATGGAAGGAAGTTGAGGAGGTTGATGAACTGAGAGGCCAGGATGTCTGTGAGAACATCAACTTACATATTGAAGTTCTCTAATATAAGATCAGAATCTGTGGTGGACAGAGACTCTGAACTATGCATTTACCTCTTCAAGAAAGGAGGGAAAATGACCCAGGGACCTCTAGTGTCTGGATAGGATGACAAACGTGGATGAAGCTAACCTCAAAGGAGGAGAGGCTACTCAGTAATGTTAGTGAGTAACAAAGAATGTGCCTGCTTTTCCTTGTCCAGTGTGTTGGTGGCGTGAGAAAAAGGATATCCTTGAAGATGGCCAGAGATTCAGGGTCTTCTGAGGGGAGCCAGGTCTCTGTGGGTGCCAGGAAATGAAAGAGTGTAAGAGAAAAAGGTCTAAAAAGAAAGAAAGTTTGTTCATTGATCCTAGAACCCTAACCCTGTCTTTTCTTCTTTTTCTTCCAAGACCTCTAATCATTTGCGTTATCAGATAAAACTGCATGGAGGTGACTGTCAGGAGGGGGAGGGCATCTGGGGCACATGCAGGCTAGTGAGCCCAATGGATGGAACAGAACTGAAACAAGGTTTGGAAGGGAAGGGCAGAGGTTAATGGCAATAGAGAATGGGAAGTGATAACAGGGGAGAGGAGTGGCTTTTGTTCAGGCAATCACAGGTTCTGCATCATGTGATTAGGAGAGAAAGGCATTAAGAAGCGAAGCTACAGGATAGAGACTGGAGCTTTCTTCCTCAAACAGTCCCCTATCTATATCTAACCCTAGTTTCTCTCTTGAACTCTAATCCTATATCATCCGGGGCCATCTCCAGTCCTCCTGACCACTGGGCCCAGATGGCTGCAGAGGAGAAAGTGAGACCAGTGACCTTGCACAGCCCTCCCTCACTTAAATCCAATTCACTTGCAAATTATGGCATCATCTTCCTGATGTCATGGTCCTCTTGAGAATGAAGAACAAACAGTAACAATAATCCCACACCATAAATTGTCAGTTAAATTTTTTTTAATCCCACTATTTTATTTTATTTTTATGTTGTATTTTTTATTTATTTTGTTAATATTTCCTAATTAGATTTGAACATTTTTTCCCAATTGCATGTAAGCAAAAATTTTTAACATTTGTTTTTTTTTTTAAATTTTGAGTTCCAAATTCTCTCTCTCTCTTCCTGCATTCCCTCCCCCCACCTCCCATGAGAAGGCAAGCAATTTGATATACACTGCAAATGTGTAGTTATGCAAAACATTTCCATATTAGCCACATTGCAAAAGAAAACACAGACTGAAAAAAGAATAATACAGAAAATTTAAAAAGTATGCTTCAGTCTGCATTCAGACTCCATCATAGCATTTTTCATCATAAGTTGTATGGAATTGTTTTAGATCATCGTAATGCTGAGAATAACTAAGTCGTTCCCAGATGATCATCATACAGTATTTCTCTTACTGTATACGATGTTCTCCTGCTTCTGCTTATTTCACTTTGCATCAGTTCATATAAGTCTTTCCAGGTTTTTCTGAGAGCATCCTCCTTGTAGTTTCTTACAGCACAATAGTATTCCATCACAATTATATACAACAACTTGTTCAGCCATTCCCCAATTCATGAGCATCTCTTCAATTTCGAATTCTTTGTCACCACAAAAAGAGCTGCTATAAATATAGCAAATATATTAATATATATATATAAATAAAGCAAATATTTAATAAATAAAAATATAGTAAATGTAGTCTTATTTCTGGTTTAGGTATCAGAACCATATTTGTATTGTAAAAGGAATTTTTTGCCTACTTTTCCAAATAGTTTATATAGTATTAGTATAGTATTAGAATTAATTGTTATTTAAATGTTTGGTAGAATTCACTTGTGAATCCATCTAGTCCTGGGGATTTTTTTCTTAGGAGCTAATTTATGACTTGTTGAATTTATTTTTCTAAGATAGGGTTATTTAAGTATTCCATTTCCCCTTCTGTTAATCTGGGCAATTTATGTTTTTGTAAATATTCATCCATTTCACTTAGATTGTCCGATTTATTGGCATGCAGTTGGGCAAAATAGCTCTTAATTATTACTTTGGTGGTGAATTCACCTTTTTCACTTTTGATACTGGTAATTTAGTTTTCTTCTTTTTTTCTTAATCTGATTAATCAGTGGTTATCTATTTTATTGGCTTTTCTGTAAAACCAGCTCCTAGTTTTATTTATTAGTTCAATGATTTTCTTTCAGTTTTATTCATCTATCCTTTGATTTTCAAGATTTCAATTTGGTGTTTAATTGGGGATTTTTCATTTGTTCTTTTTATAGTTTTTTAGATGCATTCCCAATTTATCGATCTATTCTTTCTCTATTTTGTTGATGTAAGAGTTTAGAGATACACATTTTCCCCTAAGTACTACTTTGGCTGCATCCCACAAATTTTGGTATGTTTTCTCATTATTGTCATTCTCTTTAATGAATTTGATTGTTTCCATGATTTTCCATGTTTCCATGATTCTTTGACTCTACTCATTCTTTAGGATTAGATTATTTAGTTTCCAATTAATTTTTTGTCCATGTTTCTGTAGCCCTTTATTGAATATTTTTATTGCATTACAGTCTGAAAAGGATACATTTAATTTTTCTGCATTTGGTTATGAGGTTTTTATGCTCTAATACATAGCTAGTTTTTGTGAAGGTGCCATGTACAGCTGAGAAAAAGCTATACTACTTTTTTTTCCCATTCAGTTGACTCCAGATCTATCATATCTAACTTTTTAAAAATTCCATTCATCTCCTTAACTTCTTACTTATTTTATAGTTAGACTTATTTACTTCTGAGCAAGGAAAGTTGAAGTGTCCCCCACTAGAATAGTTTTACTGTCTGTTTCTTCCAATGAGCCATTTAACTTTTCCTTTAAGAATTTGAGTGCTATACCATTTGGTGCATATATGTTTAGTATTGATATTACTTCATTGTCTATGTCACCTTTTAGTACAATGTAGTTTCCCTGCTTATCTCTTTTAATTAGATCTATTTTTACTTATGCTTTGTCTGAGATTATGATTGCTACCCCTGCTTTTTTTTTAACCTCAGTTGAAGCATAATAGTTTCTGCTCCAGCCCCTTGTTTTTTCTCTGTGTGTCTCTCTGTTTCAAGTGTTTCTTGTGAACAACATATTGTTGGATTATAGTTTTTAGTCCATTCTGCTATCCACTTCCATTTCGTGAGTGAGTTCACTACATTCACAGTTGTAATTATTAACTGTGTGTTTCCTTCCACCCTATTTCTCTCTCCCCCTCCCTCTCCTCCTTCTCCCCCCTGACTACTACTTCTCCCAATCCTCCCTCCCTGTTATCAGCCCCCCTCCTCTTT